AGAGGCACATTTCTCTTTATGTGTCATGTTTTCCATCTTTGAGTACAGTTGTTGTGCCTTTAAGGTTATTTTCTCACCCGTCTTCCTCTTTTCTCATCTGTCTGTTTTCGCCTTTTTATTTCTGTCCTGCTCTCAGACTCGGAGCTGAACCACAAAGAGTTTCACAGGGAAGTTCAGATCCTAAAGCGTCTGCGCCACCGTCACCTCATCTCGCTGTTCGCCGTGTGCACGGCGACCATGCCGTACTACATCATCACCGAGCTGATGGAGAAGGGCAGCCTGCTCAAGTTCCTCAGAAGTAAACCTCAGCTTTGTTCAGTGTGCTGCTTTATGGTTACAGCCTCAGCATCGAGCTCAGCGGGCGGTCAGCAGGGGGCGCTCTCTGTTCTGTTCTCAGGGAAACAAACTCAGCTTTCAAACTGACAGCTGCTGCAAAGCCTCGGAAACGTGTCAGATATTTACACACGTATATTTATATTCAGCAAAGGGAGGGAGACATTTCAGAGATGGATTTGATATCTCAGATAGAGATTTCACATATCTGACATCAATTTTATATTCCCGAGACGTCATGTTTGTGATCTGGTCCCAGTTTCTGGGTTACAGCTCCTGACCCTCCTCTTACCGCTGGAACCATCTGTCCATCTTCCACATCTGTCCCAGCGGCGGTCCTCGGTGTCGACGGCCACCGTGTCTGGTTGGTCGTCCAGCAGCTGTGTCACGAAGTCCCCCCGAACCTTAGCCTTCTTATCCTCCACCACCTTTGGTGATGTCTCCCACCTAGATATTTTTTTTAATGCTGTCGGCGTTAATCTCATTAAAATCTCCTTAACGCTGTAACTGCATTTTTATATCTATTTTTTTATTTCTTCTGTTTAGAATGAAACTAATGCTTACATTTCATTATGATCATAACAGTTAGTTTCCCCACACTCAGACAGCGATATTAAATCATTATTTGTCAGGAAATCGCAGCTGATCAATGATCACATGATCAATTTTCACTTAAATCTTGGAAACGATTTCCAACCTGTGAAATCCGACCCTCAGGGGAGCTCCTGAACGCAGCACCGAGCTGTAACAGCTGCTGAGTGGATGAAATCTGGAGCAGGTACTGATGGTGTTCAGTGGAGCAGCTCCATCTGCTGATCCAGAGACGTTCAGGTGGAGAATTAGAACCATCGAGTCCAGAACCGTGGTCGGGCTTCTGGACTCGATGGACTCCATGACTGGGTGGAGAGGCGCTTCTGTTCAACAGGTGGGCTTGACGAGTGGGAGACTGTCAGACTGTGTGGGGAGGGAAGGGGCCACTGCCCACTGAATAAGCAGCAGGAGATGTTCGATAAACTCACTCCTGTCCCGTTCACGTCATCTGCATCGCTCTCTCACCCAGGTCCAGAGGGCCAAATACAAGACGTCGCATCCCTCATTGACATGGGAGGCCAGGTGGCTGATGGGATGTCATATCTGGAGGAGATGAACAGCATCCACAGAGATCTGGCGGCTCGAAACGTCCTGGTGGGACACGACTACATCTGCAAGGTGGCCGACTTCGGCCTGGCCAGAGTCATCAAGGTAAGCGGAGGAGGAGCTGCCGATCTCTAAGCGGAGCACGGCGGCAGCTCTGACGGCAGATTCTCGTTTTTCCCTTCAGGAGCCGTTTTACATCTCAGAAGACAAAAAGATTCCCTACAAGTGGAGCGCTCCCGAGGCCATCAGCCACGGGAAGTTCTCCATCAAGTCCGACGTCTGGTCTTTTGGCATTCTGCTCTACGAGATCATCACCAGTGGAGGAGTTCCTTACCCAGGTTAGTCCACGAGAGAGATTCATTCAATTACTAATGTGTGTCTTTAGCTTTATCACAACAATCGTGATTATCCCAAAAGCTTGACTCTGCTCATCTGGATGTAGCGAAAACGTCAGACTAACTTCTGCTAACTCGAGTAACCTTTAAATCCTCTCAGGGACGCCTGCACGTTAAACTTTATTGTAACAGCTGAGCGAGCGCCGCGGCTGCGTCGCTGTGTTTCAGGAGCTGAAGGAGCGCTTGGTGAATAACGGCGGCCTCCCCCCAACCTCGCAGCTCGTGCAGTATTTATTAACACGTGCAGCCCTCTAGCTGCACGCTCTGCTCATGTCACAGTCCACGTGTGCTTGAATGCGATTGGCCGGTTTGCACAAGGAAAAGAGATAAGTGAGTTCCTGTAAACGTGCATAAATGTGGACTTTATGAAGCTCTGCAGTAACCAGAATAAATAACCGGAGCGAGCCAGCTGACCACTCCCACTATCTGACTTTCATACGTATTCAGAATTACAGCCTTCACAGAC